GGGGGATCTTCACCATATAATTGTGTAAACTTCTACTGTGTTAATTCTTCAATCCATGTCCTAAGAGCAACTCTATCTCTCAAACCTTCCTTTATATATATTCCTCACTCTACTCTTTGTGTAGAATTATTATAAGTGTAGTCAGTACTAAGATGTCTATAACTATAGACTTCCACTCAAGTTGTGTTATTTGCCCTTAACTCCCTATCCCACCCTCCCCCTCCTATTGTGTTCTCATTAATCCTTACCGTGAGTCCTTTATCTATAAATTCCATAAAGTCCATTTACATTTAGGGAACCCTGTGTATAGCTACCCTCTCCCACCATGCCCACCCCACTCTCCCATAATATATCCCCTATCCTCCCTCCAGCTAAGTGATAATATTGTAACCATGAATGTGATTTTGGTCTGTGGAAAACCATACAGATTGTGCATGTGCGAGACACAAAAGAAACCTGTTAGGCATGTCTGGGATTCCACTCAAGTAGCAGGTCAGGATGACATGTTTAGGGACTTTCAACAAAATGATAGCGAGATGGAATGCTCGGACAAATGCTTGTGACCAAACATTCAAACTAAGTTCTAACAGTGCAGCACAACCTATGCTAAAGCCGGCTAATACCATCTCTGCCTGTAAAAACAAATATTGATATTTGAATCCTCAGTGATGGAAGGCAGCTCAAGATAAATATTGAAGGCTCCTAGGATTTGAATAGCTGCACTGCATGATATGATCCAGACATAGGAGGAGAGTGTGGATCAGTCTGTGCCTACCACCTACACCACATCCGCCCCCTCATCCCAATCTGTAGATACTAATACCAGACAGAGCCGCACCATGGGGGGAGGGGGACAAGGATACTTTGTCAGAGCTGTGGAAGGCAAAGATGCCTTGTTCTAGTTTGTGCCGACCACGACTAATACAATCATCGTTCCCAAGTTGGACATTTTACTGCAGAAGTGCAGAGTGATGACAAGGTTTTAACATTTCACAAATCTGTTAATCACTCAAATGCCGAGGAGCCGAACAATAGTTATTGTTAGATGCCAGTAATTTGTAATCACCGTGCGGAGTACAAGTTGGCGTGACCTGAAGCAACCTCAAAGACAAGCGCAGAGCATTTTTGGCCACATGCCATTGGTCACATGGAGGTAACCCAATTTCAGCCATGTCCTATTGCATTGGAAAGCACATGACATTTGTAGATCCTAGAGTACACAGCGTTGTGCTGCTTCGTTTATTCAGAGGGAAAGAACACTTTTTTTTTTTTTACATGACAAAGGCCAGTGGTGAGATCTTGCTATAGCCATCATTCCCAGGATTACCACTAAAAGGGCAAGGCGGGCAGGGGGGGATGGGTGCAAAGCAAAGAACAAAAACAGGGAAATCAAGATACCACTGGCAGAGAAAATAACACATTTCAGGCTTCCCAGCCTAAAGAAGCCTTCTCCCCTCTACTGCCTAAACCTAGCATGGCTCCATGGGAGCTCTCTAAGGGCCTGTTCACACGACGTCCGTTTTCTGTGCTGACCTGATCCGTACGCTCCTGCACTAAAAATGCATCCCAATGTATCCCTATGTGTTTTATGGGCTACAGTTCTCACGTGCGCAGTCCGTTCAGGTTACCACAGAAAAATACTGCATGTCACATTTTGTACGGTCAGGAAACGGTCTGGAAACGCAAAACGCATCAAAAACGCACTGAGGCGAACATAGTTCAGTCCCCCAGTCCTAAACAAGAAAAACAGACTGGTGTGTGGCCAAGATTAGGAGGGATTGAAAACAACTTTGGAAGTTAAACTGACAATAAAGTTAAATCTTACAAATACCTTTAAACTCCTTAACTAGTAACAAATCTGTACCTTATTTGTGTATCACTCAGCTGTAGATCCTCAAATCATCTCTGAATTGGTGCTGACACTGTCCTTCCTTCTAGACGGAGGGGGGCTACTTTTGTCCTCCATGGTCCCTGTGTGTGTTGTAAAGTAGCCACCACTCCAATCTCATGTTTACAATCTCATGTCTAGTTTACTAATTTAATTTGTACTGAGATCGTAGTCCATACACTTTACATGTATGACGGTCACACGACGACTGTACTAAAACTTAAACTTCCCATTACGCACTGCACCAGTTTATGAATTCACACATGCTGGAACCTCCCTCAGGAGCACTGTACTAAAACAACAATTCCCATAACTCACTGCGCCGGTGATCCTATATCGCATGCGCCACTTTATCAACTCACTGCAACGCAGGTGGCAAGATTACAAATGGTAGTGATGATCACTCTCATAGTCACAAGAATGGCCATTGTTTTGGCTTTTACATTATTATAAATACAGGATCTATATAGTATAATGGTAGTCCATGTCAGCAGCGTGACTACATCCCCACACATAGTGTGATCATGCAGAGTGAATGTAGTCACCCTTTCAAAGGAAGTTACACCTGAGTAGATTACAACACATCATCTGGCTGAATGTGTTGGCCAACGCTGCCATTACAAGGGATGAATAGCTAGGAAGGTATATGGATGATTTTGGGTTTAGTATTTAGCTATTCGGACTTTGCTAGCCGACATGGTGCTCAGAACTTTGCAGACAAACTAAATACAGACGACGACTAGTAAAGTGTGTGGAAAGTCCATTCTCATTTCCTATAGTTGTGTAATAAAAGCCTCGTGACTAAGCTGATTGAGCAGTGTCACATGACCACAATCGAGGTTAAGCAGACTATACAATTTCCTTTAGGCCTGGTTCACATCTTGGCGGTCCAGGACTGGTTTCCGCAGGGCCCTGTTGATTTCAATGGGGGGAGGGGGTGGGGGTCATATCTGCGCGGCAAAATGTCTTGGCGCCTTTTTGTGCGATGAGCGACTTGGTTTTTAGCAGCACGCAGCCAAGCGGACTGCTAGCCAGGATTAGGGCGCCATTAGAAATTAAAGGTAACGCAAGCGTCGTTTGCGTGCAACTCTGGGATCGTGTACGAAACCGTGAGATCTCGGCTCGCTCAGATGTGAACCAGCCTTAAGCTAGCCACCCAATGAGGCGAATTGATCAAATCTGGAGCAGTTGTGCAGGGCAACCAATCAGCTGCTCTCAATTGTCAAATGGTAAATTAACAAACTGAAGAGAGAAGCTGGTTGCCATGCACAGCTGCTCCAGTTCTGATAAATTCCCCCCAATCTCCTTTCACCTTACATGGACAAACCTAAACAACCTATTCAATGAGTAACAAATCAGAGCGGCCATTGCGCTACATAGCTGACAGTAGATATAAAGGAGATTGTATACTGTAGTGTATGGCCAGCATGAGATCTACCATCAACCACATACTGCAAAGGCCTGTCTGATAGGATACAAAATAAACCAATTGTTTAGGTTTGCCCTTAAATTGCACAGTTTTGGTAAATCTAAAGAAAATTCTACAATGTTGGATTGTATAGTGTGCGGAAGGGTGGGCAACTCCAGCCCTCCAGCTGTGCTTTAACTACAAATCTCATTATGCCTGTGGCTGTCAGTCTTGCAATGCCTCCTGGGACTTGTAGTTCTACAACAGGTGGAGGTGCTGGTGTATGGTAAGCTCTATATAGACAATCCTGGGCTCCTTCTATGGACTGACAAGGTCTGTTAGAAGAAAGTATCCTTTCTAGAGTCCATACCCCATGTCCCAATGCTCAGGATCCTGTCTCGGAAGCGGAATAAATCATTCCCTTGTGGCTACATTGTCCTGCTGCTGTACAGGCTGCCATGGTAATCTCTGGTTAGCAGTGAGTGTGAAATGAAATGGCAGCCTGTACATGCTACAGAAATAGAACAGTGACAAGGCGTGGGAGCCTCTCTGCGAACACTGACCTGCAAAGTGCGGTGACAGCAGCAGTTCAGATCTAGGATGCCTCGGCCTCTACTATTCTGCAGGATGGAGGAGGGGGTCTTCACGTGACGTCACTCCGTACACACAATGACGTCACTCCCGTTTCCTTTCCAGCCCTCCTCTAGACGTCATACCACGGACAGCAGTCGCTCCGACATGAACACACGGCACCAGCCGGCTCCGCGACCCGGAACACCCGTCCAAAAGGCACTGGCTATGTAGTGAGATAGCGGCCGTGCGGCGCTCCGGCTCCCCAGTGTTGTGTAGAAGGAGAGGCTAATGTAATCCAACCGAGGCTCTGCGACACTGCACCGGAGCCACACACACAAATAGCACCACGGCTCACCACCGAGTAACCCGGGGGGAGTGCGGGGAGGAGTCCCCAGGCGCTACTATTAGTAGTGGGCGGGGCACTAGCGTCTAGGCTGTCCAATTGAAGCGTGAGAAGATACTACACATCAGAGGTTCACTAGAGCAAATGAAAGGCGGGACGATAGACAACGTGCCAATGGTAGCACTGTGTTGTTTCATGATTTCCAATCAGATAAGACCGTGGCTGGAAGGTCTTGCTGGGGTCGGCTGGCGTAGGGAAGGAACAGATACGCAGACACTTTGTCCAATGAGAAAGGGCGAACGAGGAAGTCGCTTTCCGATAGGTGCGCGGAGAATTGGGGACTTCGGTAAGGGTGCCTGAGAGAGTCAAACTCCGCAACAGCATGAGTTCTCAAAGGGGAAACGTGCAGCGGTCTAGGCCGCAGAAACACAAAAACGCGACTGTATTTAAGAATGATAAATATGACAGCAGCTCCCGGACTAAGGTGAGAGAAATCTTCCCCTACGTTATAGATAGACACTATAAGTTTGATGTTATCAGTCAGTAGCAATGGCTCTGGACCCATTTTTCCTATACACGGTCTCTTGCAACAAAGCTGAAAGTGGAATTAAAGCCCACTTTCTGTATCATGGTTGACTGGGTGAGGAGAGTTATAATCCTTGTCAGTTTTTGCCATCTGTGTCCCATTGGGTCCCATTACCTTCACTTCCTGTCCAGTCTCCACAACAGGAAGTGAGAGTTCCTGGGTGTCACTGAAACTAATGTCTCCATTGGAAGATTTCCCCTCTATTCCTGTTTTGGTGACAACTTTAGATTTGGGATTTTCTTTCACTTTCATTCTCCGCGGTCAGCAGGACAAACAGGGTGAATTTCCCTTATGGGGACACAGATCGCAATAAAAACATGCAGGTAATCTAATCAATCCCTCTTACTCTACCAACACAAAAAAAGTTTTAGTTCTATTTGGAAGAGATTAGTTCTAAAGGAGCTTTAGGGAAACCGGTACTGAGAGAAAAAGGGGGCTGTTGTCTCTCCTGAAGATGCTAGACGGAGGTGTAGAGGCATTTGCCTGGCAGAACAGTTTAAATGGTAAGCATGTGTGCTAGGAGAGTGACCCAAAAGGAGCTGATGTCACCTGCACCATATAAAGAACAGATTTTATGTTGACATTTCCAGCAGGTGGTAACGCCAGATTTAGGGCTCTTTCACACCATGTTTGTTGAGCCATCTGCATAGATCACCAGCACTCGAAGATATGTGCAAGAAGTAAACACTTTTTATTAGATGGTCACATGCGTCAAACAGCCAACGTTTCGGGGCCATGCGGGGTCCCATAGTGATCGTCACTTTGTCGCCCAGAAGAAGGGACCCTGCATGGCCCGAAACGTTGGCTGTAAGTCAGTATTTTCTATATTTCTTTTGCTGAAAAAGTTAATGCCGGTTCTGATAGAAAGGTGTCTGAACACACAGCGCATCGCAGTTTGTTGCATATGGGGCAGTGTAGTGGCAGATTGATTAGGGTGCCCATGCTGACCCGTGTCCACAGCCAAATCGCCTCCAATGGGCATGTGACCATCAGAACTGGACCATAATGCAATGGAAGAAGTTTGCCTGGTCTGATGAATCACGTTTTCTTTTACATCATGTGAATGGCCGGGTGTGTGTTGCTTACCTGGAGAAGTGATGGTACCATGATGCACTATGGGAAGAAGGCAAGCCAGCGTAATGCTTTCAGCAATGCTCTGCAGGGAAAGCTTATGTCTTGCCATTCATGTGGATGTCACTTTATTATAAATTTGTTTTTAGGTTTTAACATAGATACAGGAATATAAAACAAAACAAAAAAAATAATATAATTAAATAATAAAAAAAAAAAGGAAGGGAAATCTTATCTCGTACTCATACCCGTGCTCATGCTCACGGGAAATGAAGAACATCAGGAAGTGTGGCATCGCTCCTGGTTCTCTCGAGTATTTGCTAGGGGGACCACACCTTATCAAATTCGGGAATAGTATTATGCAATCGAGCTGTTAGATATTCCAAATTATGGACATCATGAATCCTTCGCAGTAGTTCTTCATAAGACGGAGGTGTAGATTGTCGCCATTTTAAGGCTGTAAGGCATCTTGCTGCAGTGAGGACATGGTTGGTGAATTTGGTGGTAAATTTCAAAAAATGTGGAATAGGAAGGCCTAAGAGTAAATATACAGGGTCGTCTGGTATAGTCTTATCTATTAATCTTTGGAGCATAATCATTATAGACTTCCAGAAAGGACGTATCTTGGGACATTCCCAAAATATGTGGAGTAAGGTGCCCTTTAATGTCATACATCGCCAACATGCTGGTGATAGCAAAGGATTCATATGATTTAGCAAATCTGGGGTGCGGTACCAATGGTATATAATTTAATGTGGATGTTACTTTGACATGTACCACCTACCGAAACATTGTTGCTGACCAAATGCAACCCTTCATGGAAACAGTTTTCCGTGATGGCAGAGGCCTCTTTCAGCAGGATAATGCACCCAGCCACACTGCAAAAATGCTTCAAGAATGGTTTGAGGAACACAACAACGAGTTTGAGGTGTTAAGTTGGCTTCCAAATTCTCCAGATCTCAATCCAATCAGACATCTCTAGGATGTGGTGGAAAAAAAAAGAAAAAAAGTCCAATCCATGGAGGCTCCACCTCACAAGTTACATGATCTAAAGGATCTGCTACTGATGGCTTGGTGCCAGATACCACAGCATACGTTCAGAGGTCTAGTGGAGTCCATGCCTATATGGGTCAGGGCTGTTTTAACAGCAAAAGGGGGACCTACTTAATATTAGGTGGGTGAGCATGATATTGTGTATGATGTAGAGTAGTTTCTTGGTTTTGAATCCTGCGTTACTGGAAATCATAAACCGTAATTTATATGGAGATTTAAATTAACAGGGACTTGCATTGTTTTAGACATTTAAAATGTGTAATTCATTAATTAGCCATTTTAATAACCGATTTATTCAATGTACTGGCATGGTGGAGGACAAGTTGTAGTAAAGAGGCATAGAGCATCTAAACCAGTACATTAAATGTAAAAGTTAATGTACAATTGTAGCTAGGTCCAGTTTTCCTATAGCCTCTGAGTGCTGTCCACTAGACATAAGCCCAGGATTGGTACAAACTCAATTCGCCTGAGGTTTGCCCAAGCCAGCTTAAAACTGTAACCGCCACTCGCCTCTCCCAGACCATTTAGTTGCCAGGTTTAGTTTTAGACCATTTAGTTTTACCAGGTTTTTTTTCCCCGCCCCTTTTGTGATGTATGGTTGTGGGGTAAGAAATGTGCCTTTCCGCAACTGCTTGGGCTGGCAGGAGGGATTGGCGGTCACAGTTTTGAGCAGGCTTGGGCAAGCTGAGTTTGCATCAAGCCCAGGCTCATCACTACTATCCACTAGGCGAAATGCCGAAATGCTTACCTTCAGCTCTGATCTCCGCTCAGTGCCACACAGCCTTTCTCATATGTGCACTTCAGCCACATTTTTTTTCTGATTAAAAAGGTTGTACTCTGAGTGACTGCTTGGATCCACCATGGATACCGCTTTCCCATAGGAGTGATTGGGCCGTTGTGTGGCATGAACAAGCCATTTCTGGGAGAATGGCTGTGCAGCTTTGCACGTGGCGGCACAGGGAAGATGGCTGAATTGGGGCTGAAGTAAGTATTTCACCTTGTGAGGGGCGGGGGGGCTTTTCATAGGTATAGCTGTACTTTTAAATCACCAGAATAAAAACATAGGTCGGTAGGGAAACCCCCGGTGCGTGCATTGAAAACCGTTTGGCTTTAAAACTTGAAACAACCTTGCTCCTTTTTTTTTTTTTTTTTTTTTTTTTAAGCTCAGATTCTAAGGGGCCAGTTTATAAGGGGAAAGCACAGTGCACTTTCTGGTATGGGAAATAAATAATCTCCGGTATGTGAGGTTACCTAGGCACTACTGTGTCTACAGCGTGAGATCTAAGGTACCACTGCTTCTGTAGCTAGCCTCAGGTGATTTAGGCTGGCCGTACACTGTTTAGAATTGTGTCCGGTTCATTGGAATTAGATGACATTTTAACAGTGGGGAGCTCTGCTGGCTCGACAAAATTCGAAAATGTTCAGGCGTACAGTCGCCGCAGTCACTGTTCGCCTATTGTTCAGTACAGTAGCCTAGCAAGACTTGACCGAAATTCAGGGAGGGGATTTTTTAAAAACTGGAGCACAACAGATTCTGGAGCAGTTGACCATGGCAACCAATCAGCATCTCTCTTTAGTTTGCTCAGGTAAGATTTGAAAATGAGAGGGAGAGAGAAGCTGATTGGTTGCAGTGCAAATCTGCTCCAGCTTTGATAAATTCCCCCCAGTATGTGTATGGCCAGCTTTACCGTTGGTTTTCTATAAACAGTAGTGGTCCCTCTGCATCAAGCACACCTCTCCAAACAGTAGAGAGCATGATCTTTGACCATTGCAGACATCCAGGTCTGATAAATGAGCTGCTGTTTTGTTATCCCATCACTTTTCTTGTACACCTTTCTTATTAAAGGAGAACTAATTTTCACTCATCCTCGTAGTTCTAGCCCACGTGTGACAATGAAACTATCACGTCAGCTCAATAGATCAGGAAGTGCGCGAGCACATAACGTCGCTCGCTCACTTCTCCATCATGTCCCTGCAGAGAGCCGTGACTGTCGCTCGAACGGACGGGGAGGGGGCGGGTACAGCTGGCTCTGCCTCTAGATGGGCAGAGCTAGCTGTCAATCATGCAGCTGGGTAGATCTCACGCAGTTGGGTGGATCTGCGGCGGTCTCGGTACAGCTCGCGGTATACTGAGCTTTGGGTCGCGGGAGGACGCTAGTTTGTGTCCTCCAGTGACCCTTAGGAGAACTCTGGGGAAAAGCACTGACCCCATAGTTCTCCTTTTAACAACTGTCCCTGTACTTGTGATAGTGTAAGGCAAAGGTGGACAAATTATTATGGAACTCAGGAGCCGGTCTGTCCATACCAGAAGCCAGCAGGATTTTTTTTATCGGAGCTAGCTCTATTGAGAACAGCTAGAGAAAACCTCCACAGTTAGGAACCAGCTGTAAATTAGAAGGAGCATTGGATACCTGGCTCCTGGGATATGTCCCGTCCTGCTGTAAGTACATTTGGTTGTTGTTTTTTAGTGGAATTTGCTAAAACTTCAGAGCTGGTAAATAATCCTCTGATGAATATGAATTGAAATTCATCCTGCCTACCATGTCTTATTATACTGTAGTTCTTCCCTAACATCATTTTGCACTAATGAGCAGAACAGTGGGATGTCACTTGCGTAATAGCGTTTGTTAATAGAGTAAATTGATCCTTTTTTTTTCTGTAATTTCCTCTCCAGCAGGATCATTAGTCACAACTTCTCTTCTCCCACTTACTGCTTTGCTGTCGCTCTCACAACACCAGGTACTTTAATGGCAGCATACTTTCTGAAGATTCGT